TATTTTTTTTGTTATTTTTTATTTTCAAACCTTTGAAGTCCACAATAAGTTGATGTCATAATTGTAATCAATTTCAAAGAGTTTCCGAACAATTGTTTTCAAATTTATGATTGAAATCGAGGCTATATTTGATTGAAATGTATAATTAACACGAATAAAGACAATTCATTAAATACCGGGTATTTTCTTCTCCACACACTTCTCATTATCGAAAGGATTCCTTAGTTTAATGGCTGTAAGTATTCATTCATTTCAAATATTATTACTGATTCACAACTCAATACTAACTGATGATCACTTACTTAAGAACTTCTTTTTCTCGATCTCTGCTTTGGAAATGCTTTCCGAACCAAAAGGTTTGCCAAACTTTACTAAAATGCTCTCAAATGTGGGATTTTCATCAATAAATTGTTGCAATTTCTCGTCTCCCAAACTCTTAGCCGTTTCATAGTTTTTATTTGTTTTTCTCAAATATGCAATTTCTGCGTCTCTTCTCATCATTTCTGATATCTTTAAAACACAACATTTTTTTAATGAAGAATTTTTAACGATTACATGAAATGAAATATTGATTACATTTTCACGATTAAGAAGTTTCAAGTTTCCGATTCGAGATAATATAAGATTGAAATTTGTGTCATATTTTTCGTTATCAAACACCGGATTATTCTTAATGAAGAGCTGATCCAGTTTTTGGAGTTTATTCAGTTCTGAGACATCTCTCCATGTCTTCAGATTATTATTACTAATCGATAGGAACTCCAATCGAGGGAATAGTTTGGTCTTCTGTTTCGCATCCGAATCGTCGAAATGTATTGAATTTAGTTTACAATCGGAAACGTTTAGAGTCTTTAAACTACAATCAAAAGCAAAGACAATATTTAACACAATAAACATAAAATAAAAATATGATAATAAAAATACTTGGGAAGAGTTGCGAGTCGGCAGACGTGATGCCATTCCTCGATACTGTTATTGCAAAGACTCAGATGAATGAGTTGTGTGAACACATGCGGACTCTTCAGTTCAGTCACACGATTGCCCCAAACGTCAAGTCTCTCGATATTTGGCC